CTAGGGGCAATTTTTAATTTTTATGTGCTTCCAAAGACTTCTCCAAAAGAGTCAAAAGAGAACCTACAGATTGGGAAAAAATATTTGGCAATGACATATCTGACAATGGACTTATCTCTAGAATTTACAGAAAACTCCAACACCTCAATAACAAAAAGACAAACAATCCAATTAAAAAATGGGCAGAAGACATGAATAGGCACTTCACCAAGGAGGACATTCAAGTGACCAACAAACATATGAAGAAATGCTCATGATCATTAACTATTAGAGAGATGCAAATCAAAACAACAGTGAGATATCATCATGCTCCAGCACTAGTAGCAAAGTCCAAAAAGGCAGAAAACAACAAATGCTGGTGAGATTGTGGAGAGACTGGGACTCTCATACACTGGTGGGACTGTAAAATGGTACAACCATTGTGGAAAGCAGTATGGCGATTCCTTCAAAAGTTGGAATTAGAAATACCATTTGACCCAGCCGTTCCATTACTAGGTTCACCCTAAAGAAGTGAGAGCCATGACAAGAACAGATATATGTACACCCATGTTCATCGCAGCACTATTTACAATAGCCTAAAGATGGAAACAACCTAGGTGTTCATCAACTGAGGAATAACCAAACTATGATACATATACACAATGGAATACTATGCAACCCTAAAGAATAACCTAGAATCTGCAAAACACCACATATAGTGGATGAACTTGGAGGACATTATGCTGAGTGAAATAAGTTAATCACAAAAGGACAAATATAGTATTAGTCAGTTATTGTAAAAGTCTAGGAAAGGTTTATCTACGGAAGGAAATTTTCTTTGTTGGTTACCAGGGGTGGGAGGGTTGGGGAGGGAACACTGTTAGATAGATAGAGATAAGTATTGATTTGTGTGAAGAGAAGGGATATGTACCAAATGTGAGTGATCAACATGGTGGCACTGAGGAAGAGAAAGACATAGATAGATAGGTACATGGGAGGTACAGACAACAAAGATGAACTCTTTTGCACATACAGTATTGCTTGAAGTTGTCAGAGAAGGCAAACATGGGTATTTGGGTGGATAGATGGGTGGACAAATGGAGGGACAGGCTGAATAATTAGGTATGTCTATGAAGTGGGGAGTGTACCCAAGAACATGTATAGGGTTGGCAGACAATGGTCCTTTAAGTTTATGTGTATGATCTGAATTCCCAGGTGTATAGTAGATCTGACAAGAGGGAAGGTTGTAGCCACTGCGTGGTCACAGCCAGATACCCAGAGGGACCGAGTAGTTGAACCTGTGGGCTCGGGACTATAGTCACAGGGGACATCAAGCTCAATTGGCATAACATATTACACAAAATATTGTTCCACCTCCTACTTTGGTGAGTAGTGACTGGGATCTTAAAAGCTTCCAAGCTGCCATCTAGATGCAACGATGGGTCTCTCCTTGTTCAGAGAAAAGAAGAAAACCAAAAATTCATGGCAACAATCAGTCCTAGCACCTAGTACACCATCTGATCTGCAGCCTGTATGACTATGAGACCAGAAGAACTAGATGGTGCCTGGCTACCAATGTAAACCATTTGGAAGGGGATCTATAATAGGAGATCCTGTATAGAGAGAGAGAACAGTGTGGAACAAAACTCAAAATCATTTGGAGAAAAAAAAGGGGGGGGACCAGGTTTGCTGGTCCGATAGAGCCTGGTGGAACCACTGAGACTATGGCCCCTAGCTGCGCTTCAGGTCTGGAATTGAACCCACACCTGTGGCTTCCAGCTAAGCAAAAGATAGGCATATGACTTGAACATTTACCTGAGGAAGATACACTCCTTGGAGAGAACAATCATGGGAGAAAGAACGGCTGCTTATGCACAAGGAGACAGCTCAGGGGCAAGAAGGCAAGGAAGGAGAGACACAGGGAAGAGGTAATTATCAGGAAGAAGTGGGAGGGGAGCTGTTGCACTGCGGTAAATTGTGGTCAATGTCATGAGACAAAGTGTATGCGGACTGCTGTATGGAAAGTGAATTTGCTCTGCAAATTTTCACCCAAATCACAATTAAAAAAAAAAAAAAAAAGATACAACTTGTTTGATAAATCAAAATGGTGGTGTACTGCCTAAGGCATTTGACTGCTAACCAGAAGGCTGGCAGTTCAAACCCACCAGTCACTCCTCAGAAGAAAGGTTGGACAATCTACTTCTGTAGTGATACCACCTCAGAAACCCAAAGAGGGGTCGCCGTGAGTTGGATCTGACTCAACAGCAGTGAGTTTGGTTTTGGTTTCAGTTTGGAAGCATGAAAATACGCTTGAAAAATATGCTAATAATGCACTCAACATTAGGGTTTTCTCCCCACACCATCAAATTGGCAACCATTAAAAAAGACTAGTAATTAATATAGATATGAATGTGAGGAAATGAGCATAGTTGTGGAGAGTGCAAAATAGTTTTAACCTTTTTGGAGGGAAAGTCAGCAGTACCTATCAAAACTTAAAATGCAAATATCCTTTGACTCAAAACATTTCAATTCTGGGACACTATCATACAGAAATCCCTACCTAGCTAAAAAAGTGTTTATATTTTTTTTTTCCTCTGTTTTGTTTTTTGCTAGAAAAAACAGAAAATAGATTTGAGATCCTACACAAAATAAAGCCCTGAATGATAGTGTCCTACTAGTCTGAAGGAGTCCTGGGTGGAGCAAACAGTTAAGCACTCAACTTACTAGTTGAAAGGCTGGTGGTTCTAACCCATTCAGAGGTACCTCAGAAGATAGGCTTGGTGACCTGCCTCTGAAAGGTTACAGCCTTGAAAACCCTATGGAGCACTTCTACTTTGCACACCTGGGGTCTCCACAAGTTGTAACTGACTCCAAGGGAACTAACAACAATTAGTCTGAAAGATTAACTTCTAAAAACATTTAAATTTTACTGATGGAGATATTTATATTATATTTATGGCAACAGATGTTAATTAACTTTGTTTCCCACATCATTTGGCCAGAAAGCTATATATCAAAGAAGACCCCAAGCTGTAAAAGGACACTCACCGAACTGAATCTAAAACCAACAGAGTGAATGTTAACGTTGCCGTAAATGCCCAGAGTGTCGATCTTCTCCAGGCTAATCCTGTGGGCATAGAGCAGTGTGTGTTTTCCATTTACAGCCACCTAGACAGATAAAAAAGACAACCATGCCCGCCCCACCCCCCAAAAAAAAAACAAGTAATTATTTTCCAAATTAGAATCTGATTCCTTGGATTTAACTTTATGCCTTTTCCCCCAGATGTCCACGTTACATCTACAACCAAATATAGACTGAAAGAAACCACAATATCATCAATGTTTCTTAATTTCTGTTGAGTTCCTGATCTGATAAGATACCACAGACCCTCACCTAGGCAAGTATATGCATTATGAATGCATATAAGGATGTATATGTTTAAGTGTGCAAATATATGAGCATCACAGGGTTCAAAGGGCACACAGAAATCACAGATGTGCTAGAGACCTATGATTCAAGGTTAAAGATCTGCCCTGCAAACTTACAAACAGACTTCCCTGAGGACCACATTGTAAGCAACTATAAGAGAAATGGCCTACCACACTATAAATGCTCAATAAATGTATGGAGAATCTGCAGAATGAATGAACTGGGCAAGTTACCCAACTTATTTGAGATGTATTTTCCTTATTTGCAAATAGAAAAATCTCTTCTTCAAAGTGCTACTTATATAGGTTTCCTAGTGTGTGACACAGACTAAATATTTAGTATATTTAGTTCCTTTTCCTTTCCTCCCTAATTCCAGGTACTCTGATGGCACAGTGGTTAAAAAATTTGGTTGCTAAACAAAAGGTAAGCAGTTTGAACCCACCAGCCATTCCGTGGAAAAAAGATAAGGCAGTCTGTTTCTGCAAAGATTTACAACTTTGGAACCCTATGGGGCAGTTCCATTCTGTACCCTCAGATGGAGAGTTTTGACTCTAATTGGTACAAATCTCTAGTTCTGGGAAAGGTCTATAGACTTGTGGCAAAATGGTTGTAAGACTCCAAGACAAATTCAGTTCTATACATACTTTCTAGGTATAAAATGTGTGATGACCTTACTACACAATGGATTTCTAAGATCCCCTCTGGGTGTAAAATCTCACGAGTCTAAAGAGCTACCTTGTGACAGAAATGGACTTTACAGAATCCTTTTGACTTCTATACTGGGATTTCCCATCCTTTTGTTAGTTCTGGATTCTCCACACATGCTTTGGGTAATGGTAGTTAAAATTCATTATCACCTAACTAATATAAAACTAAAAAACCAAACCCACTGCCATCGAATCAGTTCCAACTCATGGCCACCCACACTGGGTTTCTGAGGCATAAATATTTACAGAAGTAGACTAACCAGGCCTCCTTCTGCAGAATGGCTGTTGGGTCTGAACCAACCAACCTTCTGTTTAGCAGTCAAATGCCTCAGACTCTGTGCCACTAGAGCTCCTTTAATGGTGTGCCAAGTCAGAATAAAACTCAGCTCTACTAGAAGAAATAGGCTCTAATTAAAAAGGACTGGTCACACTGACCTGTATTCCCAAATGGCAACACAGAGCAGCTGTGCTCTTTCATACATTTAGGTCTCTACCTGGCCTTTACTTTAGAGAAAAATCACAAAGCCATACAATTTCTCTGGATTTAATAAATGTAAGGGTGAGGTCATAGTGTGAAAATCTTCCCTGTAAGCTTACTCTCACTAATGAGGATTCAATATGTCATTCTCCAAAACCAACCTGAAATTTGTCCTTCAGCACCATGATCACAATTTCAAAAGACTTTTCCTTTTGAAAAGGCATTTCATAGGTGATGACTTCCCGTCCCCATTTTTCATTGATCAACGTATTGCAAACAATGCAGTTGGCCCTTTTAAAACGTGGATTGAGATGAAAGGCCACATCAGCTCGAGGTTTCATGCTGCTGCCACATTGTAAGTCTACCTGGAATCTGAGAGGAAAGAAATGTGGGCCATGTGAGTGTTCACAAGGGAGAGGCTGAAAATGCTAAGTCTTGTTTGATCTTTTCCCACACAGATGCTCCACAAGGCTGTTACAAGACTTAAATGCATTCTTGTGATGAGCTTGGTACTGTGCCAGACACAAAGGTCACCATGGCAAGCGAGGCAAAACTTGGAACATCAAAGATTCGCCTCAACACCTCCTGCAGTGCTTCTTTTCATGCATCAACAAGTCAAGTGTCTTCCCGCTATTTCTCTGAGTGTGGGAGGGCTCTTGCCCTGGCTCTTCCATGCTCTTCTTTCAGCTCACTGCATGCACTTGTGTGGGGCTGGACCAAGGTATGGGTCTGTGGATCACAAGACACCAAACTGGCTATAACACCCTGACCTTCTCAGCACCAGCCTAAAACAGAAAACACTTAATAAACAGTTTCATGCAAGCCAGTAAAACATGCTCTGAAAAATATTACTTTTTATCTTCCACAAACCCAAAATACACACAGTACTGAACAAACAGAAAATTCTACTTAGAGAAAAAGTAGGTTGGGTTATACTCTTGCCTTTATAAGAAACTCAGTGATCTAATGAATATTTTGTACTTATTGTCTTTCTATGAGTAATTATTTTCCAATCTAGTTTGAATATACCTCCCTGACACAGCATGAATCACAGCACAGTGGTAAATTGTGTGGATGTCAAGAGGCAACACAAGATGGCCCAAGCAAGACTGCCAACCCACAAAGCCAATCTGGGACAAAATTATGACATACAAAAAGTCTGCCTTTAGGCTCTCCTGCATCTGTATAAATTTGTCTCTGTCTTCCAGAGCTTACTTACTAGTACATCAATTCACAAAGGACCTTCAATGAAAACAAATCTCAGATTTTTGCCTATTAAGTTGATAAATTAAGGACTGGTGTTTTTCAAAAGTCACAAAAATGGCAACTATTTTCTGATGAGTCCATCTGGAGCAGCTGTTAATATTCCTATCACATTATATGGCATCAAAACATCAGCTATTGAGGTAACTACAGGGACTCCTGCAGATAAGGCTAAGCAAGCAGGAAAATTCAAACTAAGTGACACATGGGCTTATCTCTTGTTCATTCACCCTTGTAGCCTAAATATATAGATTACCTATTCTCCCCTTCACCATATCTTCCCAGAATAAGAAATTCTATTTTCTTGTCTCCCTTGCAATCAGGCATGCTCATGTGGTTCAGCTTGAAATTAATCTTAAAAGTCAACTGACATTTGCTTTTTGTACACACACACACATACACACACATGCACACACATGCACTGCCCAAAACACAGGTATGATGAACTGGAGTTCTAGCTTCCGAGGATTATGAGAATGAAGACCTTGTGCTAGGGACAGCATAGAGTGAGCCAGAAGAGGCCTACCTCTCTAATGACTTTATGCAGAGGCCTTGAAAAAACTTTTCTACTTTAGACTTCATTTTCACAAGACAGAAATAGAAGTCTATCTTAATTAAACCACTATTATTTGGAGGTAGGTCACATAAAGCTGAACTCAACTCTAACTGATACAGCCCACTCTAGCATTTTGTACCCAAAGCAAGCTGGAACTATATTCTGTCTTTGTCCTCTGACCACAATTCTCTTCTTTATCTAGATATCTAACTCTTTATATTTAAATCAGACTTACAACAATAAAATTAAAAATCCAAATCACCGTTTTAGTTATCTCTTTCAATCTCCCCAGCACCTTGACCAGGACTGCTAATGAAAGCAAAATCAGGCCTAAAGTTGTCAAAATAGTCTTTCCTATATTTTTTTGTTGTAGTTGTTAATCCAAAATTACAAAAAGACAGTTTGGTCACGTTCTTTTCTCATTTAACACAATGACTTTACCTGTCTGAATCACCAGGAACATGCCCACGTATTACAATCAAAGTCCCAGCCTCCAATTGCTCAGGAATGGTGCCAACGTAGGGGATAACCTACAAAGGAAAATTATTTTTAACAAATAATCATTCATATAAACAAAATTAATGACTAAGAAATTACAGCCATACTCAGTTATCAATAGAGAATGACTAAATTTTTAAAGGCTGCACATAAATCTGTTTAGAAGCCAGCATTTCCCAAACAGTCTTCACTATTCAAATAGCTACAGGAAACAATATGGCAAGGTTATCTGCAATATCTACAAATCATTCTGAGTTCTCTAGAAAAAGACATAAGATAAATACTATTAACAGTACTTCGTATTTGGCTATGGGTTTTGTGAAATAAAACTTTTGTAATATGATAATTTTGACAACAGAAAAAACAACTTTTTGCAATGCCATGCCTCCCCATCCCTTTTTCCTATAATTCCATTGACAATCTCCAAAGAAGCCTCAAGACCACCTTAGGCCCTAAGCCAATGCTGACAAAAGATTATGATATATATTCACTGCCTCTAGAAGGGCTCCAAATGATGTCACACTCTCCCATATGAGAATAGGATGCCTAATCTCTTCCAACTTCCACATTGCAATGCTAACCACACTGTTAGAAATGCAAAAGAGAATTGCATGCTCTTAAGGATGAACTTCAGCCACTCCTTGGAAGGAAGGTTGGGCAGTCCTACTTCCGTAGTGATACTGCCTCAGAAACCCAAGGAGGGGTCGCTATGAGTCGGGGCTGACTCGATGGCAAATAACAACAACAAGAAGGATGAACTCCAGGTCCTGTGGATCTTTCAAGACATGAAATCTACTTGCCTTGTGCTGGTCCTACTGGCAGACTTAGGCTCTGGCAGGTTTCCTTGCCCAGTATTCAGTGCACTGTCAGATCTCACCACTCCCCTGCCCCAGAGATGTCTCACTGTCCTCCTGTCGAGTGGCTGGGGACCTGTGCAATGTGGCTGCATCTCCTGCACCACAACCATCTCCCTCCTCCACTCTGAAGCATCTGACTAGCACATACAACCAGATATCATTATGCCAAGCTCAACCAAGTTATATGCTAAACCTATCCAGGGTAGCTCTAATTGACAAAAACACAAGAAATAAAACAAGAAAGCCCATGTAAGAGCAGTAGCAAGCTTGTGGCTCATATACTGCAAGTCTTGTCTCAAGTCCGATCTCCTGGGCAGACTGAGTTAGCCCCTCTTAGGACCCCTCAAGCACTTCATAACTTGTTTGTTCACATATATCTCTCCCTACTGTGATCTCTGTGGAGCAGCTCTGGATCATGTTTACATCCCAGGCCAAAGGACAACATTCATTCACTAGATATAAGATAAATGAATGAGCCTTCACCAGCCTGCAACTGGGTGCTGGCAGGTCTTACCCATGAGAGTAAGCAGGGGCAATTAAGCAGCTACTAGGCAGTGAGGTGAGGCAATAAGCTCTCTATTGTTTTAAACATTCAGATGAGAAATGAAGAAAGCCAATTACCTATTTGGTGTCATGGTAATTACTGAGAGCAGGGTGGGTGGGGATAAGCAAAGCCGGCATCAGATCAGAAAAGGAAAAACACAACTGACTATTGATTGTGCTACAGCTCTAGGTCAGAGCAGCTGGTTTGTATGTGTAGGGAATGTTGGAAGACAACACATCCACACCTGTGATGCACATCTGATCTTTGGAGCCACACTTGATTCCAAGAATATGTAGCAGTATCTGTCAAAGTATAAACCTTGCAATAATATGAAAACAGCTTTTGCCAGATCAAAATTTATATATATTAAAATTATATTTATATATAGAATGTTTAATACTAGAAAAATGTTAGTGACAGATCAGTGAAAAAGTAACATACAAAAGTTACATATGGTAGGATGTCAACTAATAATAAACATTATAAATATAGAAACAAACCAAAAAGGTTGCAATAGTCTTCTTATTTTAATTTTCTTCTTCATACAGTTTCTTAGGAGCTCTGGTAGCGCAGTGCCTAAGGCACTTGACTGCTAACCAGAAGGCTGGAGGTTCAAACCCACCAGCCACTCCTCGGAAGGAAGGTTGGGCAATCTACTTCCATAGTGATAACTGCCTTGGAAATCCAAGGAAGGGTTGCTATGAGTCGGGTCCGACTCAATGGCACACAACAACATACAGTTTTTTAATTTTCAGAGTTCCATAATAAGTGTTTGTTTTTTAAAAGCACAAAAATGTAGACGCTCTGGTGGCATAGTGCCTAAGGCATTTGACTGCTAACCAGAAGGCTGGCGGTTCAAACCCACCAGCCACTCCTCAGAAGGAAGGTCAGGCAATCTACTTTTGCAGTGATACCACCTCAGAAACCCCAGGAGAGGTCGCTATGAGTCAGATCCGACTCCATGGCAGTGAATTTGGTTTGCGTTTGGGTTATTTTAGAGTTGGAAAGAGTTTTAACTCCAAACAATCTATTATCATCACTAACAATAAGTTGGTTACAACTGTTATGAAGTTATTCTAGTCTGAGAAATAAGTATGCTGAGAATTTTGGCTATTTGCTGTTTTAGTTGTCTGGATTACAAAAGTACTATCTACTTAGGAAAACACTGTAAGTCACAGCTTGTAATACTCAACTTTCTTGGATCATCCCTGTAGCTCACCATGACTATTCGCTCCTATGAAAAAGGAAAAGGTTTTTTTTCTAGGCAACTGCAAGCTAGAGTCTTTAAAACACCATAAATAATTACTAATTTCTGTAAAAGTTTAGAATACAGGTATTATCACACTGGAGATAGTATCATGTTTAAGCCACTGTTTGGTGTTATTTGCTGGAAAAAACATTATAGCTGATTTATATAGTTTTGCCTTTTTAATTATTTATAGGGAGCTCTGGTGGCGTAGTGCCTAGGCATTTGACCTCTAACCAGAAGGCTGACAGTGCAAATCCACCAGCCACTCCTCAGTAGGAAGACGGGGCAATCTACTTCCGTAGAGATACTGCCTCGGAAACCCAAGAAGGGGTCACTATGAGTCGTAATCAACTCCATGGCGGTGAATGCCTGCTATGTGCAGGCTAGAAGTTAGACTCAAGTTACAAGCTTGAGACTCCTGTTCCTCAGAAGCTTGTAAGATAGTTGGGGAGAAGTCATATCTCTGTGAAAAGATGATGAGTGGAAATGTGGCATTCTGTTTGGCTGTCCAAAATCTGAATCTTTTTCTGTAGTGGGTGGAATAATTCTCCCACCCTCCCAAAATTCGTGTGCACCTAGAACCTAAGCATGTAACCTTATTTGGAAATAGTGTCTTTGCAGATATAAAAAGTTAGGGATTTTGTGATACAACATCCTGGATTTAGAGTGGGCCCTAAAACCAATGATTGGTGACCTTATAAGATGAGGGCAAATAGACACATGGGAAAAGGTGGCTGTTTTGGTTACCTGGTGTCACACTGACAGGAATATACCACAAATAGGATGGCCCTAACAAACAAGAGTTTATTCTTACAATCTGGAGCCCTTAAGTGCAAGTTCAAAGTGCCAGGCTCTAGTGGCTGGGTGAAAGGCCCTCAACCTTGGGCTTCAGTTCTGCCTCCTGCTCCAGGCTCACTGAAGCTAGAGGCTTTTCTTCACTCAGCTACTGGCTGCTGAAGCTGACAAGCCCAAGGTTGACAAGTAACAAGGCACAGTCCTGATTTTACCAAACCACACAGCAGGCCATTAATTCAAGGCCATTAAAAGTCCCAAGACTGGCAGAGCATGGCAGACTGCTGAACAATGACTCAGCTACATGCAGGGTTCAAGCATGCCATAAACTAGAGACCATCATTCCCAGAGCTGCTTCTTAGATACGGGAAGCTGCTACTCAGCTGTCTGTGGTAGATCCTACCATGGAGTTGATTACCAGTCTCATCATGGGAATAACTACTACCAGCTGCCCAGCTACTCAACCAGGCCCAGCCAAGTTGACACTCAACCTTAACTACCACAGCAACCATCTGAAGACAAAGGTAGATATCGGAGTAATGTACTCCCAAGCTAAGGAATGCCAGGAGCCACCAGGAGCTGAAAGAGACAAGGAAGAATTTGCCACTAGAGAGCCTCAGGAGAACTGTGGCCCTGCCAACAACTTAATTTTAAACTTCTGCCTCCATAATTGAAAAAGAATAAATTCCTGTTATTTTAAGTCATGAACTTTGTGGCACTTTGTTATGGCAATCCTGGGAAATTAGTACATCTTTTATATCTGGACAATCCTCTATATTATAAAGATTACATTATATCTAAATTATCCTTTTCCCAGTCTCCTTTGCAGTTAGGGCAAGGGCACATATGATTAAAGTCTGTCCATCACAACTCTTATCTTAAACTTTAAATTAGACAAGAAGCCAGAATGCTGCAGTATTCACTCTGGCAAGAGGGCAGCAGCTACATTCAGGGTCAGAGGGTGCTGGTGGTATTGGCAGTGCAGAAAGTACTGTGTCCAACATGCAACAGATGCTGTTTCACGATTTTGAGGGTTATCAGTGGTTGTGTAGTCTCTAAGCCTGGTTCTTCAATCCTTGTAGATGCCAAGAAATACTCAGTATCTTTAATAAATTCCTTTTCTGCTTATATTGGACAGATTTGGTTTCCGTTGCTTGCAATAAAGAATCGTGTTAGCTCAAATATCTATCAAAATAGGGAAGTACATAAGTGTCAAATAAATGCATCAGGAAAATGTGATAAAGATCTAAATGAAGTAGCCAAAGAAAGGATATAAAGGAGGTGTGATTTTGACTTGGGTAGACTATAGTTAGGCAGAAAGAAAGGGGAAGCCACTTCAGGTGAAAATGTATGTTTACAGAAGCCTAAAAACAAGAAAAGAAAACATCATTCCAGGAGATGTAAGTTGTAAGGGAAAAGGTGAAAAAAGTGGGGTCGGGTCAGATTTTGGAATGACATAATGAAAATGGTGTTTAGGAACAATAGTCCACTGCACGTCCGGGGTCATCTCGGACTAATTCCAACAAGTCTGGCATAAAGTGGTAAGGACATGATTGAGGGTGGTGGCAGTGGGAAAGAGAGACAGATACAAGAGATCTTTCAAAGGAAATTGTCTACATAGGGCCATCAACTAAAATGGTGAAACGAAGAAGGAAACTAGACTTTAGAAAGAAGATGATGAGTTTGGTTTCTAACACTTTTAAAGGGTTGGCTAGACACCTAAGAGTAAATATACTGAAAGGAGTATTAAAGATTCAAGATCATATCTTAGAAGAATGGCCTGAAATCATATCTGAAAGTCACACTTGGGACAATCAGTAAATATCAAAGTCAATAAAAAAATTGAGAGAGCAAAAAGTCAGGGGGCAAAGACTCAGTGGTTGCTGAAATTACCGTGTGCAGAGCAGAATTAACATAGCAGCCTTGCTTACAAGGTTGGCTCTCAGCTGTATCTGGGATCTTAGGTTTCAGGAAGATGCCCACCATCCTAACTGATTAATGTGGCTCCCTGGGCCTAAGCCAAATGTGTGCTTTCCCTTTGAGTTTGGGATTTTTGATACATGCAAGGCAGAGACTAGTCCCTCAAAATATCCCTGGGCACTGAATGTCTAATGAGCATACCTGGCAGACAACATTTCACATGTGTTGTCACAGCTTGCTACTGGTGGAAATAAACCCATCATAGGTGACACCACTAAAAGAGGACCCTTGGAACGTTGGACCTGGTTTTCTTAGACTTTACCACACGTGCCATTTCCCTTCGGTGATGTTCCCCTGTATTGTTTCATTATAAAAATCACACTTGTGACTATGACTAAATACTGTGAGTCCTCTTAGCAGAACCTGGGGTGGTTCTTGGATCCCCAATATAGCGGGTAAAAGAGAGAAGGATCAGTCAGAACAGGTTAGTAAAACCACTGATTGTAGCTGGGGAGTGGAACTGAGTGCCCAAGTGGAAGGAATTTTCATGGTTCACTGAAACGCTTAAGAAGTACTATTTGGATTTTTTTTTTTTTTTAACTTTGTATTTTGATTTAGGTGAAATTTTACAAAGCAGATGTGTTCTATATTCAAAAAAGCAATGAATCCCCTCTTACAGGAGGTTTTCTGGCAGAGTGTGGTGTCCCTGGCATTTACTGCTGAAGAGCTTTTAAACACTTGGTGTAGCAGAGTAGAGACCAGGGCATGGGGCAGCCTGTCCTGTGGAAGTGGATAGGAGCCTGTCTTCAGGAGGCCAAGAGGGAGGCTGTTCTCTGGGGGTGTGCACAGCAGAAAGAAGGGCTGTGCTTGAATAGCTAAGAGGAGCTGAGAGAGCCATTATGCACTGAAGAAAGGAGATGTGCTCTCCACTTCCAGGGAGCCTTCCAGACTTTGCCTACATGCTTTCTGACCCCGATCCTGAGTTGTAACCCATTGATCCTGATCCTGAATTGTACCTGTTAACTTTCCTAAAAAATACTTCATAATTGTGAATATGGTCTGTGAGTTCTGTGTGGGCACTGAAATGAATCACTGAACACAGTAGAGAGGTAGAGTGCTGTGGAAGGGGCAGCAGTGTCAGAATTGGTAAACGGATGGAGGGTAGAGATATGTCTGACCTTCACCTCATAGGAAATTAGCTATAGGGTTGATCTTGATTCTCTCTCCTCCCCTTGAAGTTAGATGAGATCTGATGTCCACATGCCATTTTTACAAATGTTAGCAATCTGTATATTACCTTGGAGTAACGACCATGTCAAACTATAAACAATAATAAGACATACAGGTAGACACTAAGCTGCCAAACAACAGATTTCATTTCTGGTATGAAGTTAAGATATTGTCCCCAAATTATTCACTGAATCTGAATGGAAAGAAAAGGGAGCATGACTTTTTTAAGTCTTGGGATTTTATCAAATGGACTACTCAAATACATATACTAAATAAGAAAAAATATATAGGCCAGTCAAACAATTTACTTTATCCTCTCGAATATAACAGAGATATATAAACAGAGTTGATCAGTAGTGTGAACCAAAACTTTAATCAATGATATAAAAAACAAAAGGTGACAGTTCTAGGTCTTCATGATGCTTAATAAATATATAAGTATACAGTAGAAACTCAATAAACACTTCCTCATTGTTTGAATAGATCACTGACAAAACAACTACTGTTGTTTGTTGTTATGTGACCTTGAGTTGGACCTGACTCATAGCGACCCCCAAACAAAACTAGGATGCAAGAAAACAGTTTTAAGTCTAGCTTGTAAAACATTATAACGGATTGACTTAAAATATTTATGTTACCTGCTGCTTCATTTTTATCTTTTGAACAAAATAGGAGACTATAACTTCAGCACAATATGGGCACTCAATTCTATAAATATTTAATAAGTGAAATGTAAAAACAGATCAAAATGTTACATTTGTCATTCAGTTCAGTCTTTCTACTTCTACCATTTTTTTGCTTGTGAGAACTGACAGGAAAACAAGGAAGCTTTAGAAATTTGTTATTTACCAAAAATATTTATCTCAAAAACTTGTTATCATAAACTACCCTCAGAACAAAAATGAATCTACTTTGGAACCCTGAATGTATCTATTGCTCTAAGGAAGCATTACTTCTCCAGAGCTCCATCAGGAAATGAAAGTCTACTTATTTTTGTTTCAATCTACTATTGGGGTGCTAACCACAGAAATTACAAGAATCAGCAGTATGCTATTATCAAAATATACAAAGATTTTAATATTTAAAACTGTTTTCTAAATAACATTCAGGAAAGGTGTCTATGCATGAAGGCAGAACTGACCAGCATAATTTAACCATACATCCATCCTCCTGGCAGGCAGTGCCCCCCCCACCTTTTAAAAACAAACAAAAAAAACTTTGCAGAAAGTCAGTCTATAACCTTGAGATGTTTTTAACTCTGAGTTGTACAGGATCCATTTTTAACCATTGCACTGACTTCAAATTCTGTTAAGTTTTCCTTTTTTAACCAACTACCATTGAAGAGGATTTCTTCTAACACTGATTTTGCCTGATGTGGAACTTGTACCTTACCCTTGTATTACATTAACATTTAGGGAAAAAAGAACTATAGCTATAAACTAAATAATAAAAAAGGTTAACCCTTCCATCCCCACACAAGCAAAACTGGTTTAGGGCCTCACTTCAAAGATTCTCACTCTTCTAATTGCCCAAGCATGTCCAAGTTGTTTACCAAAAAAAGCAGCTGTCTTATTTTACTCAGCACTAAGCTTCAGTTAAGTAGAAAACTAGATGTTTCTAAAGATTCTCATCACAACATAAAACTACAAGTTATTTACTACCAGGGTATATACTGAAATATCTAGTAATTACAGTCATTCAAGGGTTCTTGGAGCAGCCTAGGACCTGGTTGTTGTTGTTGTCATGTGCCGTCGAGTCAAACCCGACTCATAGCGACCCCTCCTTGGGTTTCTGAGGCAGTATCACTACGGAAGTAGGATTGCCCAACTTTCCTTCCGAGGAGTGGCTGGTGGGTTTGAAACGCCAGCCGTCTGGTTAGCAGGCAAGTGTCTTAGCCACTATGCTACCAGAGCTCCCTAAGACCTGGTTAAGACCCTAGTTTCTCTTATACTCCATCCCACCACTAGCTTTTGACATTTTACCTGCTGCCTAAGGCATCTGACTGCTAACCAGAAGGCTGGTGGTTCAAACCCACCAGCCACTCCTCGGAAGGAAGGTTGGGCAATATACTTCTGTAGTGATACTACCTCAGAAACCCAAAGAGGGGTTGCTATGAGTCGGGTTCGACTTAACGGCAGGGTGTTTGGGTTTTTTTGTGAAAGTACCAAGCAGTGAAAGGCAAAGGGAAAGCTTAAATATTAACTTCTGATAGTCAGTTCTAATTAAATTTTAAAAAGAAAAGAAAGGAAAACTCGCCAAGAAATCTACTTTTCTTTGAAAACTGTTTGATTATCTGAAGATAATCTGAGCCTTCTCTTTCCCACTCTTATGCCAAAAGCTGGCATTCCCTCCTCTACTCTGCTCATGACTCTCGTCATCTCTTATTGTAATTGTGTCCTTTTCCTCCAGCAGACAAGCACAAGGGCCATATCTATTTCTTACTCATCACCCAGCCAAGTCCCTATCACACAGTAAGTACTTTATATATATTAACTGAATTTTATTTTTGCTCCCTCATAGTCACTATGGATAATTACTACTCAATTGGATTTGTACTCAATCCTGCCACGGGTAAAAAGTAATTTTATGGGAACTCAGTTACCGGGTTATAGATGACATTTTGTAGGTTGTTTAAGGACAACATCATTCTTTTCCACTTTATTGTTGACTGAGTATCTTCGATATGTGATCTGTGATTTTAAATGCGTTTCACTTAAGACTTCCCCAATTGAAATTGAAGTACCTTTCCTGTGCAATAGCAAAATAGAGAGAAAGAAAAATAACCATGAACAGTTTTTCTTCATAACTACTTTTTAATTTAAATTATAAATTATGTTATTGATAATTACCAAATAACACGATGCTATTAAAGTCAAAGATCTCACCCCAATTCTTACACACTAAATAATTTTGCAGTGTGAGTGCAAGAAATAGTTATTTAACAACATATCAACAAAATGTATTATATATATATATATATTTAAAAAGTAAAATAACTCGCTTTTTCCTCCTTTCCAGTTATCACTGAGTCAATTCTGATGCATGGCAACTCCATATGTGTCAAAGCAGAACTGATCTCCATAGGGTTTTCTTAGCTGTGACCTACCTACTGGAAGCAGATCACCAGGCCTTTCTTCCAATGTGCCTCTGGGTGAATTCAAATTGCAACTTTTTGGTTAGTAGCCCAGTGTTTAACCAGCAGGGACTCAAAGTAAAATAACTGTAAATACTAACCAAACAGTTGTGTATAATTTTCAGAGGTATTCATTTAACTTCTCTTTTGTGGTCTGTAAAATGGTAATATTACTATTCACCTTATAGGTCTGTTTTGAAGATTAAATGAGTTAAAAAAAAGAGAAAAGAAATCAGTGGAATAGTAAATGCTATAAAATAGCTGTTACTGTTTATAGAAAGGATTGGTCAACCTCTTCCAAATTATACAACTCAAGGTAAAAAAAAATCCAATCCCCTGAGTACTAGTAAGACACATTTTTTGCTGTTGCTAAAGAGGAAACATCAGCTAAATTTTTAAAGATAAAAGCATGCATCCGTTCTCCGGGGAAAATGTAATGGCATTAAGCAGAAATAAAGGAGAAATGAAACTAAAGCTTTCTCCATTCTACTTTCAGAAATTCTGCTATTATACTGTACAGCCATCGCACTGGCCAAATTTATTGCTCTGTCTATAAAGGAGAAAATTCCAACTCTTCTGGGTTGTAACCTTAATCTGTGTCATTAACAAATGTTAGCCAAAAGCTCAACACTCTTTGTTCTACGCCGTAAAATTCTGAACGCACAAACAAGAGCAAAAAGAACGGATACCGTTGCCATAGTCACATCCATAATTTACATACTGACCAGAGAGTGACCCGATTTAAAGCATAGATTTAGATTAAACCAATTATTCCCCGAAGTATCCTCACGAGCAGGTCCTGTTATTAACATTTCGATGCCTACACAATGAAGCCATCATTTACGCTTTACCGACGATGGAAGGGAATTCAAATGACTTTCGTTTTCAGTGTTTACTACTGTAGCAAAATGACTCGGCATCTTAATGTGTGTGTTTAACCTCAAGGACAGTAATGACGGTCTGATAAAGACACTATCATTCTGCCAGGGAAGAAACTTCTCGATCTCTTCGTGCGGAGATGGTGCTTCGCATTCGGACTGAGAGAAAACTAAGTCCTGAGAGGAGATGAAATAGAAGCATAACTGGGAAGGGGGTTTGCAGCGAGGCGCCCTACCGGTGTAGCACCAAGCAGGACGACCCAGGAAGGCACAAGACTCCCCACGATTCCTCATTCCCAGGAGCGCCTTACTCGCAAAAGCAGTCCCCTCCCCTCGCCCCTGAGTTCACTCTCCCCTTGGTAACTCAAACCCGACTGAGAATGAAGAAACCAGACACTGTAGCACCAACCAAATTGATTAAGAGAGAGAGATGTTAGGGTACCCTCCTAACTGGGGCGTCTAGCCATAGCAATTCCACCTCTGGTGGGCCATCTTCTCCCAACTCACCCCAGGACTGGTGTTCCGGGTGCCCCTTCCAGACTGGGCTGCTTGTCCAGCCGCAGGTGCCGTCTAGGTTCTGATCCCAGCGTTCCTGGGCACCTACGGGAAGTGAAAGGACTCAGTCTGCTTCCATTTCCCGTTCCGCGAGCTCCGGGTCTTAGCCGTCGGCTTCGCGTCAGCGTGTGGGAACGTCTACGCGGCTCAGCACTGGGCTTATGTAGGGGCGGGTCCTTGGTAGTGACCGCCACCCTGCTGCTTGCGCAGCCTCTGGGGATTTGGATTGTGGCCGAGTTGCTGAGGAAGGAACAAAAGGAATAAAGAAAAAAGTGTGTGGAACAAATTCCTGGGCGGACCTGTCTCGGTCCGACGTAGGGGTGAGGGTGCAAGGGAAATACGTTGCCACTTACCCCGCTGTTCTGACTCTGAGTCTGGGAAGGAGGACGCTTAGGACTAGACACCCTTCAGGGCCAGTGTCGTATGGAGCATGTCTTAACCCAGCGGCAGCCGAGAGACTCCTTCTTTACTCGTACAAACCCTTGGATGTAGGTGATGTGATGAAGAAATGGATTCAGTGTAGCCGGACTGTGCCTATCCCAAAGCCCCAATCTAGTTTCATACCTCGTACTTTGCGCCACTGTGGATTTTTGGCCAATATTTTGTGTTGGTCTTTTCTAAATAAATTGTACTCTTCTCAGGGAACAGTATAAGCAATATAGAGTCCAATTCCAACTATATATTCCAAACCAAACACTCTCCTGACTCATAGCGACCCCATGTGTTACAAAGCAGAACGACTTTATAGTGTTTTTCTAGGTGGTAAACTTTATGGAAACAAATTGCCAGGTCTTCCACAAGGCCGGTGACACAAGGCTTTGACCCCCATCTGTAGGATAATAGTCAAGTGCAAACTGTTTGCATCACCCAGGGACCTAAACATGTATTAGATCCTCAATAAATCCAAACCAAACTTCTTGCCTTCAAGATGGTTCTGACTCAGAACAGAATAGAACTTAACTACCCCATAGGGTTTAAATCTTTACAAATGCAGACTCCCTAAACTTTCTCCTGTAGAGGGGCTGGTGGGTTCGATCTGCCAACATTTTGATTAGCAACCAAGCACTTAACCACTGCACACCACCAGAGCTCCTACTTCAATACATAAGTAACAGAAATTATTTTGCAGTCTGGCCCACATTGACCTGTTGGACTGTAAAAGCATCAGAGAGAAATACAAATAAAGTTATGTGCAGTGGTATCACTAGGGCAGTGTATGGGATGCAGAATGCACTAGGTAACAGTATAATAGGTTACCAAAACGATTGTCTATAAAATTTCTGTGCACTGTTTCAGGAGAAAATTCTTTTTTAATTAAAATATCCCTGTAGTTACAACAAAAAACATCTTTCATAAGCTCAGCTTATGTGTGTTAATATGCCTACAAGTCTAAAAGTCTATGCTAATTTACTTTTGAACCTCCTAATATGCTCTGGTAGCTCTGGAGCTCTGGTAGCATAGTGCCTAAGGCACTTGACTGCTAACCAGAAGGCTGGCGGTTCAAACCC